TAAAAGAACCAAAGACTTAAACTACTTCAGTCTGTGTGCATTTAATTTATTTAATACACGAGTTTCATAATTTGAGTTGAATTACTGAAATAAATTAACTTTTCCACGACATTCTAATTTATTGAGATGCACCTGTATGTTGTTCCAAACCTGTATGTCTTTTTTTTTCCATGTTACAAAAGAAATTGTGAAGAAAGTTAATGTCCATATATAATGAGCGTCTATGGTGATCAAAATAGAGCTTGATTTGTTTTCCATTGCCTTTCATTACAATTGACAAAACATGTCCTTGTTTGTTTCATGGAAGAAAGAAAATCATAAAGGTTTGGAATAACATGAGAGTATGACAGAATTTACATTTTTGGGTGAAATGCCCCCTTTAATTTATCTATCTGACTGCCTTGAAACAGTAAACAGGGTTTCCCTGGGTCAGAAATAGTCTTTGATATAGTGAACAACTTTTCTCTGATTATAAGTTGAGGAGAATGAATTGTGTACTCAAATGGTTCTCCAATGAGATGTGTGACATTCAGGTGAAGCAAATCGAGGTTTGCAGATCAGAAATATATTTAGCAGAGGTGGGTGGGTACCTGTCACAGTTTCTGTTATGCCTTGTCCAAAAACCCGCACTTGCGTATGGGAAGCCAAACAACCCAAATGTGGGACGAAACAGCGCGTACAATTGACAAAACATGTCCTTGTTTGTTTCATGGAAGAAAGAAAATCATAAAGGTTTGGAATAACATGAGAGTGACGAGACGAGAGACGTGCAGATCCATATGCAAGCTTTTTATTAAAAGACATGGTCACAAACACAGGCAGGGTTGAAACACCAGGGAACAGGTATGGCACAGGCAAAACACAAGAGCAGTCCAGTAAACAGGCGTGGGTCGATCGACGGTGAACAATATCCAACAGAGCAAGGCAAAGAGAGATAATCCAGCTACATAGCAATAATCCAGGCAGGGGCAAACAGAGTCCGAAACAGCAAGACAAAAAGGGTAATTCACCAAATACAGGAAATACGTCATATAAGTAGTCAAGTGGTTAAGTGCAAAGACCGCAAGTGTGGGTATTTGGAAAAGGCATGTGTTTGGACTTTCTGTTTGCACCGTTGTCACCGTCTAGTTAGTTGTCATGGTTTTTGATTTCGTCATTCAGTTCAGGTGTGTCTAGTCATTATCCTAGTTTGGTCTGGGTATTTAAGTTCCTGTCTGTTCAGTGTTAGTTTGTTGGGTCTTGTCAATGTTATGTGTCACCAGCCTTGCCTTACCTTGGAATTATCAATCTGTGGATTTATTAAAGACTGTTTTCCTTCATCTTCGTCTTAATGCGTTCATCGACACAGTATCGTGACAGTACCAGAATCGAGTGGAGTTATATTTACAACAAACTGTACTTAATTATTTATCCATCATTGATGATTACATTTCTTACATATACACTTTTTTATAATGATATACAAATGTATTATAATACTTAATATTACTACAATTTAAAATAAATTATAAAAAAATGTATGAGCAATATTAGTCAAATTATCCATAAGAAACCGTTTTACTGTGGTGAATGAAGTTTGAGGTTGCGGCGGTCATGTTCAGTTTGCAAACTGCGTACACCAAACATATTTTTATGAAAATGGTCCATTTTGAAGTGTTTGTATCCAAACAAACAATATTCGTAGATCCTCCTCTGCCCCTGTATTGCTCTGCGCTTGCACAGCGTCATGCAGCCGTGTAGACTCTGACATCTGGTGTGACATAAACATCATACGATTTGCTTCGGCATCTTTTGCATATCGGCCGGGAAAAAAAATCACAAACCTAATTGTGTATTACATTCAGCCACAGAGCATGGTCTGTCCTAACACTGAAAGACGGTAGCCTACCAAAATCTAGCGCTCTAACTCGCTAATTGAAAAAAAAAAAGGTATATAAAATAGATCACATTCCATGTGCTTTTTCCGTTGGAAAACAGCAGCTCGTTATTCTTAAGGCCCTTTCACACAGGACGCGGCAGTTGCGAGTGTCTAGTAGTTCATTTTCAATGAGAGACATGCGGAAAGCAGCAAAACCTGGGCAGTTTCGCTGGCGGCGCGGAGCACAAGCGGTGCTCGTGCACCCAAAATCGTTCCAGGCACCACCAAAGATAAAAGTATTTTATCTTTTTGTAAGCGGCAGCCGTGTCGGCTTTAAGCAAGATTATTAACAACCAATCATAGAACATTTCACTGAGCTCATGTCGGAGTGTTGAAAACATGATTAAGATCATTTTAAATGTAACAGAATTCCCAGAGTTGTATGATCCATCAAAAATCTCTAAATAACCAAATTTATTTAGAGGGCGTCACAAACACCGCATCTACTGCACAAAACGCTTCCACTACGAGAGAAAGTGCTAATACATGCGTATTAGCGCCCTCTTCGATTGTGGAAATTTGAAGTACATGCGCTTCTCCAAAGTTTTTTTTCTAAGGTAAGTGTTTCACTTCACCATGTCCCTTCCACATTGAATAGCTTCTCAACCTTACATGACTGTTAAAGTTAAAGGGTTAGTTCACCCAAAAGCCCTTAAATTACTCACCCTCAAGTCATCCTAGGTGTATATGACTTTCTTCTTTCAGACGAATCCAGTCAGAGTTATATTAAAAATGGTCTTTGATCTTTCAAGCTGTTTAATGCCACTCAGTGGGTGTTGCATTGCTTCAGTCCAAAAGAAGTTAAATAAAAAGCGCCCATCCATAAAAATAAAAAAGTGTCTCACACGGCTCCGGGGGGTGAACAAAGGCCTCCTGTAGCGAATCGATGCTTTTTTGTAAGAACAATATCCATATTCAAAACATAATCACTTGAATCTAGCTTGCGCTCACTATTGTACACGGAAGCAGTTCCGGGGGAATGACGTATGAGGTCGGCGTTGCGCATGCGCCGCTCAGAAGTGACGCACGCGGAAGCGCAGCGGAGAGGTCAA